CATGTGCTTCTCCTTGCCTGAAAATTTCCTTGCTTCGTTAAATTCTTATAAACCCTTTAAAGCTCAAATTAAATGCCAACTTCTTCATGAAATTTTACTTCTCCTTTCCTCCCTCCTCCAGCAATGATAACTTCCCTCTTTGGACCTCACACAGCATTTTGTTTTTACTTCTCTAATGTCTCTCCTCTAATATTTAATATCATAGTATATATCTATAATACTTAATATTATAGTTAATATGTGTCTATAATACTAAGTATTATAGTTAGCATGTATCTTCTCACTAGATGGAAGTTCCATGAGGCCATAGGCCATATATAACCTAAGCATTTTATTTTTCACGTCATCCATAGTACACTATGTATAAGAAGTACTGAATCTGTAAAATTAGAGGAGTAGACTAGATCATCTCTGGCATCTCTTCCAGCTCTAGATCCAGTGATCTGTTATGAAAATGATTTGAATAAAACTTGCCATTGTACCTTGGACAAGTCACAAACTTTGCATAGTCTGCAGTAGACAACAGTAGAACAAGCTCTGGATTTGGAGTCAGAACTTATGTTCATTTTTCAGCTATGCCATTTACTATCCCAGCAATATTGGGAAAATCACTTAATTTCTCTGATGTAGTTTTCTCCTCTGTAAAATGTACTTGGGGTAGTGGATGTAAATGTACTAGATTCATAGTATCAAAATCAAATAGAAACAGAGGCTACTAATGAGCACATAAAGATCTCTGTGAGCTGCATATTGACCCATTTTAAAAATGTAATATTTATATTTTATTGTATATTCATTCATTTCATTAAATATGTTCCAATTACTTAGTCTGGTTCCGGCTGCACTCAGGAGTGTTGTGGGCTGTGTATTTGACACCTATAGACTAGAGAACTTCTAGGTTTCTTTCTAGCTCTAAATCTTTGCTCATATGACTTAACAAGGTATCTCAGACCTGTAAAGATCTAAGACATTCTTGAGTGAAACATGGCCCATTTTATCTCTGTACAGAATCATACCTCAGATATCATGTTAATTATACTTTTCTTTAACATAACTACCTTTTTATTTCTGTCTCAGATCCTATTATAAAAACATTTTATTTTTCTTGATACCATTCCAGTAGAACTATCACCATGTATTTAAAATGATATTAATTTTACTGTCTTTCCTTGCTGGGTAGATGGGAATAATTTCTAATCTTCATCAGGTCAGGTTTAGAAGTGAACAGTAAATGCAACCCCAGAATAACTGTTCTTTCAGGCTGAGGCAACCAACTAAAGTGTTGCCTTGCAACATTCTGAAACAGTTCATTTGAGAGCATCCTGTTTTCTTCTCATTTTGAAAAGTGGCCTTTATCTACCTTTACTCAGTTTGGATCAGTTCTGAGAATTTTATTTTTCATCAGAACTGGAATAGTCTACAATGATTCCTTAATCAGCAAAATCCGATGATTCATGATGCTTATTACAGCTAAGTCTTTTTCTTTGGGGAAGAAAAAAAAATCAGATTTTTATTGATTTACAATTTTATTTATATTTCGCTTTTATGTTTCCTGTTTAATTTTAGCCTGACCTGACTTTTAAAAAATCATGCAACTATCCATTTTATAGTTCATTTAAAATTTTCCTTCTGTCTGCTGAAAATTGTGTGTTCATACTTCTTGGTTTTGAAATAACCTTCTAATTCTGTCTTTCCAATTTTCTGCATTCTTTTATTATGGATAAAAACAGATATAAAGAAGCAAGAGGAAAAGAAAAATTGATTCCAGGTTTCACTTAAAATTATTTATATAAAGGAAATCAGTCCAAATAAAGAAGCAAAAGTAGGAAGCACTAATTGAGTACAATCATAGAATTCGAATTCAAAGTCTATTAAAAAATTAACTGGAAAACCGGTAATCATCATCTCCTAATTAAAGGAAATTCTGATCCTTCATGTAATTTTTTCAAAAAAAAATGATAAGCCAATCTGTAATACTTTATAGTTACTACTATCTTTAATTCTATACTCTTACTTTGATATTATTCTTTAGAGTGCCATCTGGTGGTTTTAAAATAGTGTGGCAAAATAACCAGAGTTAAGAGAGAATAGTTCTACACTCCAGTACCTTTGATTTTATTTCTTCTTTAGGCCAACAATCCATCCCTCAAGCTTGTTAAGCTTTAAATTCAAATTCTTTACTAGATAGTTATTCACAGAAAAGGCAGCATGCTATAGTAGAATGACTCCTGGATTTGGAGTCAGAGAACTCAAGTTCTAGTCTATACACTAACCTTACTACTAACTGGGTAAGCTTGAGCAGGTCATCTTCTCTCTTAGAGCCTCAGTTTGTTTATCTGTAAAATTTGAGAGTTACACATGGGATTTTAGGTGTCATGGACTGCTTTGGCAGTCTAGTGAAATTAGGGACCCCTCCTCAAAATAGTGTATTTTTAAAAAATCCATATTTAAAGGAAATGATGAATTTTAGTTGGATGGTTGTGAAAAGAAAAATGTTATCTTTTCCCATCCAAGTTCCCATATCCTCAAAAATCTACATATAAGCACCTATGTTAAGAATCTCTGCACTAAGGGGCAGCTAGGTGGCACAGTGGATAGAGCACTGGCCCTGAAGTCAGGAGGAGCTGAGTTCAAATCTGGCCTTAGCCCAATCTCTTGACACTTACTAGCTGTGTGACCCTGGGCAAAGTCACTTAACCCCAATTGCCTAAAAGAAAAAAGAAAAAAAAGAATCTCTTCACTGGATGATCTCTGAAGTCCTTCTAGCTCTCAGTTGTGTATCATAAAGTATAGCAGCAAACTTTATTTTAATGTCAAGTTAATGAAATAGATAAAATTCAAACTTTTGGCTAGTTTTTTTATAGAAATTTTTTTCTACATCGTAGAGCAAAAGCTTTTTTTACATATAGGCTAATTATGACTCTTTATACACAGACAATTTTAAATTATCCAAAGAGGGTTTAACTCTGTGACATCCATAGTAAATCCTTCTTTCAGTTACTCTCAACCCTCCTTCTTTGATACAAACATCATTGTTAACTTTTGTTCTTCATTTAGTCCAGTAGGTGCTTCTGTAAACAAAACATTTAATTCCCTTCTCTCCCCTAGGGAAAGCATAAGCCAAAAAAGTTAGAACTGGATATTTCAAACTGGATGCCTCATAGACATCTTTAACTCAACATGTCTGAAACTGAACTCTGCCATAAATTGTTGAGGGAACCACCATCTTCCTCGTCACCCCGTCATCCTCAATTTCTCACTCTCCTTTACATAAACCCCATGTGCAGGCAGTCGCCAAATTCTGCCTTTTCTACTTTTGTAACACCTCTTGTGTGTGCCCCATTTTCCCCTCTGGCACGACCCCCCTCTGGTCTCCCTGACTCAGATCTCTCCCTATTTCAATTTGGCCTCCACTCAGCTGTCAGATTGAACTTCCTAAAGCTCAAGTATGACTATGTCATTTTCCAATTCAATCAACTGCAAGGCTCCCTGCTACCCTCAGGCTTAAATATAAAATCCTCTGTTTAGTTTTCAAAGCCCTTTATAACCTGATCCTTTCTACTTTTCCAGTCTTCTTACCTTTTACTCTTTTCTACTTACCCTGAAGTCTAGAGACATTAGCCCCCTTGCTGTTCCTCACACAAGACACTATATTCTAATTCTGGGCATTTTCACTGAGTGACTCCCATGCTTGGAACTGTCTTCCTCATTTCTGCTTTCTTGTTTCCCTGGCTTCCTTCAAGTCTCAGAGAGAATACCACCTTCTGCAGAAAGCCTTTCCCAGTCCTCCTTAATCCTAATGCCTTCCCTCTGAGATTATTCCCCAGTTTATCCTGTGTATATCTTGTTTGCACATAGTTGTTTGGATATCGTCTCCACCATTGGACTGTGAGCTCCTTAAGAGCAGGGACTATTTTTTTGTTGTTATTTTTTCTTTGTGTCCATAGTGCTTAATACAGTTTCTGGAACATAGTAGGCATTTGTTAAATGATCATTGATGATTTAGAAAAGAGGCTATCTATTTAACTGATATTTTGATTCATCTGATAAATCATGTTGATCATTACATTCTTGGATGCAGGGATAGATTGATCCAGGGCAAGTATGGATAACCTAAGTAAAGTGTTCACATTGTGGCACTGTTAGACCAGTTAAACAGGTATTGGTGTGTTCTGATTAATTGATATTTTTGTTAAATACAATTTTAATCTGCCCTTTTCCTAATCTGTCTAAAAATACTTCTGCCTTAATTTGAATATAGTAGGTTAAAAACTTTTTTATAAGGTGAGATTTTGTATTTCTTTAGTTATCATTATGAATATTAATTTTCATTATTAAAGTATGTTATTATACATGTGAAATGATGTTTATAGATGGATATGATTTGCCTATGTGTTAACAATGCATTTGATAAAGTATCTCATGTTGTTCCTGTGGAAAAGATAGCAGTATGGGCCAAGATGATATTTATGTGGTCATTAGTTGGGCCCAAAGTATAGTCATTATTGTTTCAGCATCAGCTTGAAAGAAGGTTCCAGTAGAGTGCCCCAAGGATCTGTGCTTAGCCCTGTGCTTTTTAACATTTTTGTAGTGATTTAGATAAAGATATAGATGACATGGTTATCAAATTTGTCAGTGATAAAAATTGGGGGAGGAGGTGGAGGGAGGCCAATTAACATCTCAGATGACAGTTGAGGCACAAAAAGATCTTGACATTGGACTGAATTTAATGATATGAAATTGAGCTGGGATAATTGTGAAGTATTAAATATCCTTGGGTCAAAAATTGACTTACAAGTATGAGATGGGGGAGTCAGGATCAAAGCAGTTTGTCTGAAAAAATAGTGGGCTTAGAGGCTAGATGACCATTGTCTACTATATTATAATAGGTATTCTTTTTCAACCAGGAGTTGAACTGGCGGGCTTATTGAGTCCCTTCCAAGTGAAATTCTGTGATTCTTTGAAATGTTAATTTAGGAATTATTTTTTTTTTCCTTTAGCCATCTCAATTTGAACAATGCATTGTACATTCCTTGCAATCACTCAGAGGGGTTCTGGAATGTAAACCTGGGGAAGCCAGTGTAAGTTTCTTTTAATTTCACTCTTCCCATTTTTTAAATGCATACATAATCTAAAGCACCTAGAAACCATAGCAACAGATCTTTAAGACAGTATAGTACAAATCTAATCCTATTAGTTTTTCCTCCCAATATGCACGTGTTTTATGTAATTAATTGCACTGTTGCTTACTTCTAGTTCTGAGATGGCATCATAAGTAGTAGAATGGTACTATAATGTTTTAGATAAATTATAATATTAACTCTTTATATACTTTTTAACTAGTTATATTTTTCATACACTAAAAATATGACATTGTTAGTCACCTATACCAATTATTCCTGTATTTTTATTTACTTTTTTCATGTGCCTCACAGTGAGTTAATAGATTTAGATATACTAATAAATCTGTCCTTTTCCTTAGTAAAGACCCAAAGTGTTAATTATAAATGTTCTTCTAGGTTTTTCAGCAGCCCAAAACACAGGAAGAGGTATGCCAGCTAAGCATCAGTATCATGCAGGTAACATTCAAAAAGCAGTAATGTATAGTAAGCTCAAGAGTGATGTAATCTCTCTCAATTTCTTTTCCTGTTCATAATGATTCAGAAGGTACAAAACAAAGAATGGGCAGTACACCTCTCAAACATTGAAGGAAAGGGGAAGGAGAGGAGAGGAAAAAGGAAAGAAGAAAGAAAAGAGGAAACTGTATGATGTTGAATAAGTCACTTCAAATGCATCCAATGTCTATTCAACATCTACTGTGATAGGGAAGGTACAAAGTTTTCCTAGTTAAGGCAGGATCCCTACCCTGATCATTTATAGTCTGGTTCAAAGAAGAGACTACCTCACCTCATCTGAAAAATGAGAAGATTGTATTACATACTTTTAAGGTTCCTTCTAATCCTAATAGTCTAATGAAATAATGTTATATATGTTATCTTTTGTCATTTTGTTTGGGTATTTCAGACATATACTAGTATTATTTTTATGTTGTACTTCCTGATGAAATATCATAGGGTTTGGAGGTAGAACAGCTAAAAGTCTCTGTATATTTCTTGGGGGATAGGGAGTAGGACAAGGGGAAGGAATGATTTTAACTACATCAGAGCCAGTTAAAGAACATTTATTTAAAAGAAATAGTAACTTATTTCAAGCACCTATGTGAACAAAAACACAATGTTTGCAGTTTTATGTAAAACTTTTTAAAAATCACAAAAAGGTTGATCTCTAAATATTGCTATTCCTGCCTTAGGTTTTTATATGTTGTCTGGAACAATTGAGTACCAAGCCTGATGGAGACATAGATACTACACAGTAAGTGCCACAAAAATGGGTCAGGTTGGGAAATCTGGTAGGATAAAACTGGAAGTGGACCTGGTGCAGTGGAAAGAATGCTGGATGAGGAGTTGAGGTTCCTGGGTTGGAATCCTGGCTTCACCACTTACTACCTCAAATAAATCACTATACCCTTCTGAAACTCCTGCTTCTTATTTGCAAAGTGATCCAGTTAAACTATAAGACCACTAAGATCCCTTTCAACTCCAAAACTATGAGCACATAAAATAGAAATCTTAAACTGCTGAATTGAATTACTGAGTTTTCCCAGTTATGAACAGGTATAGTGTTTTTAAAATGTCTTCATCAAATTTATTCATTCAAGTCATTCAGAAAATACTTAGGAAGTACATATTCTGTGGAAGGCACTTTATAAACACCTTTGGGAGCACAAAAATTGATAAATTTTAGACTTCTTTAGGGCAGGACCATATCTTCTTTATCTTTATATTGTTTTATTGTACAGTGTTGTGCAGGTAGTTTCATAATTTAAAAAACATTATTGGTAACTTTTGTTTTTGTATCACCTTTGTTTTCCAAATATATCTTTCTTCCCTCTCTTACTCAACAAGCTGTACTTTGTAACAAAGAATAAATAAGAAAGAGGAGGGGAAATTTCAGCAAAATTAATTATAGCATATGAGCCAAGTTAGACAGTATATGTAATATCCTTTGGCTTTAGTCCCCCAGTTCTGCAAAGAATCAAGGGAAATAGATTTTCTCTACTCTTGTCTAGGGCCATGTTTGATCATTATAGTTATATATGTTTGATTTTCTTTATTTTTTTAGATTTAGGTTGTTGTAGTTACTGTATATATTGCTTTACTAGTTAGGCTTACCTCACTCTGCATCAGTTCATATAAGACTTCTCATGTTTCTCTTAATTCTTCACATTTATTGTTTCTAATGGTGCTATAATACTACATTACATTCATGTACCACAGTTTGTTTAGCCATTCTCTGTTTGTAGATATCTGCTTTGTTTTCATTCCATCAGTTCCTTCCACTAAAAAAATTTGTTATCATATATATGTGAACATATATATATATATTTGTTATGGTATATATGGGACTTTACATTCTTGGTCTCTTTGAGATATATACCTAGCAATGGAATTTTTAATCATTTTTTAAGTATAATTCTAAATTGGTTCCTAAAATGGTTAGACCAACTTACAGTTCCATCAACAATGTATTAGAATATGTAGAGCCAAGATGGCAGAGTAGCATTTCCCACCAAAAAAAAAAAACAAAAACCCAAACTCCTCCAAATAGGTCTAGAAAATGCACCCATACAAATTTTGATGTAGAATCTAGAAAAAAATCACAGTGAGTCATTTTTCCAGCCCAGATCAACATAGGGAGGCAGAGAGATCTGAGGACAGTAGGGCTGGCAGGAGCGCAAAGCCTCAAGGAGCATTCTAGCACAGAGAGAGGCTGAGTACTAGGAAAGTAGTCTTAGCTTTAGCACAGAGATCCTTTATAGGATTTGAGAATAGATTGGCAACTCTGATGCTTAACACCCAGTTCAGTTTTACAGATCCAAGGAAGACAAAAGAAGGGACCCGCACCAAAGGGTGACATTCTGGGGTAGGGAGTGGTCTCAGGAACAAGTTCAGAATCAAGTGTAGTTGGACCCTCAGGAGTAGAATGGGGTATCTGTTCCCTCTTGTGACACAGTCTCAAGCCTGCAGAAGAATAACCACAGCAGGAATCTCAGACCAAAAGGAAGCTTTTTGTTCTGTCACTGAATCACCAAAGCCATAGTGATAGTGGCTGAGTCCAACAGTCTGTTATTATTCAGACCCAAACCCCAGTCAGGAGCTTTGAGAGCTCAGACCAGGAGAGCAGCAGTCAGACTTTTCCTTGGATCATGCTACTTTTGAGAGCACGGAAATCTTGCAGAGCCTTAGCCTAAGCTGTCCCTGAGATTTTATAATAACATAACATTCAGTACCCCCAAAAAAGCAAAAACAGGACTGACCTCTTCCCTCCAGAAGTATACAGAGCATGGTCCTAACATCAAGTCCAGAGTCAGAAACTAGGCTGGAAGAATGAACAAAAAGAACCTAGACATCATATTTCAGGAAATTTTAAAGGAATGCTGCCCAATTCTCTAAGAGCTAGAGGGCAAGTAGAAGTAGAAAGGATCCACTGGTCACCTCCTGAAAGAAACCCTTGAATGAAAACTCTCGGGAGTATGATAGTGAAAATCCAGAGATTTCAGGGAAAAGAAAAAAAATACTACAAACAGCCAGAAAGAACTCAGGTACTGAGGAAACACAGTCAGGATCATACACAATTTAGCAGCTGCTCCTTTAAAGGAGTAGATTGCTTGGAATTTAGTATTCAAGAATGCAAAGACTTACAGCTGAGAGTAACTTACCCAGCAAAACTGAGTATAGCTGCAGGAGTGGGTTGGGGTGAGGTGGGAATAGACCTTTAATGAAATAAATAGTTCCCACAAGCATTCCTGATGAAAAGATCAGAACTACATAGAAACTTTGAAGTTCAAACACTGGGATAAAGATAAATACTGAAAGGTAAAACTGATTGTAAACACAGGAAGGGACTAAACAAGGATAAACTACTTAAACTCTAATATGGAAGATGATACTTGTGTCCTCTCTCAACCCTACCATCCTCAAGGGTCACAGGAGGAGTCTAATTAGGCTGAACACCTCTGAGGGATTCTGTTATATCTTGATCTTAAAAGAAGAGTGGAAAGAGAGGGGAAGAATACTCTGGGAAGGAGAGAAGGGAATGAAAAGTTAGGAGAAAATATCTCACATAATCAGGGTATGCAGATATCTATACAAACAAGGAGGAGGGGGTCAGGAGAGCAACCAAAATCTCACTTTCATTCAGACTGGTCAAAGAAAAGAAAAATATGAAAACAAAGAGCTGACTGCACAGATATACTTCACTCAACGGTGAAATAGAAGGGAAAGGGGAGGAGGAAAATTAGAAATTAGAGGAAGGATACATTAAGGGAGAGGTTAGTCCTAAGGAAAACAGACTCTAATTTATGATGTTCAACAATATTTATAGCTTGGAGTCAGGTAGGTGGCGCAGTGGATAGAGCACCGGCCCTGGATTCAGGAGGACCTGAGTTCAAATTTGGCCTCAGACACATAACACTTACTAGCTGTGTGACCCTGGGCAAGTCACTTAACCCCACTGCCTAGCCAAAAAAAAAAAAAAAGAAAAATATTTATAGCTTTTTTTTAAGGTATTAAAGAATAGGAAGCTGAGGGGTTTACCCATTAAGGAATAGCCAAACAAGTTATACTGTATAAATGTGATAGAATACTATTGTTCTATAAAAAGTGATGAAGGGTGGTTTCCAAGAAACCTGAGAAGACTTGTATGAATTGATGTAGAGTGAAATGAATAGAACCAGGACAATTTATACAACAATATTGTAAAGACAAACCACTTTGAAATACTTAGGAACACATTTGTATAATGAATAATGATTCTAGAGGATTAATGATGAAATGTGGTACCCACTTCCTGATAGAGAGGTGAAGGACCCAGAGTGTAGAATTAGACAGACAGACAGACACACACACACACACACACACACACACACACACACACACTCACACTCATACTCACACTTTTTACTTTATTTCTTCAAAGGTAGCCAATGCAGAAATTTGCGTTGTTTGACTTACACATAAGTGCACAGGGGGTTCATTTGTTATTTTCATTCTCAGCTGAGAAGGTGGGGGTGGGTAGAAAGGAAGGCAGATTTGTGTTGTTTGGGAAAAAATTTAATTTAAAAAAATATATTGGTGTGCCTGTCTTTTCATAACCCTGCCAGCACTGTTTCTCCTCTTTGCTAATTCCCTGAGTATAAGGTAAAATCTTACAGTTGTTTTGATTTGCCATTCCTCTTATTGGTAATGATTTATAACACTTTTTCATATTCTTTTGAGAACTTTTTGTTCATATCTCTTGACTACTCTTACATTAGGGAATAGCTCTTGGTCAAATATATGTGTTAGTTTCTTATTGGATATCAGACCACTATCTGATCTAATGCAAAGATTCTTCCTAATCAGCAGCTTCCTTTCTTATTGTAATTTCTTTGCTTTTGTTCATGCAAAGGCTTTTCAACTTCACAAAGTCAAAATTTTCTATTTTATCTTTTGCTGTTGTTTTCTATCCTTTTTTTTGTTTAGTATTATCCTGTTAACCATAGCATTGAAAGGTACTTGATTCTATTTTGTTATTAGAGTTAGTTTAATTATAATAGTTATATTGATATAAACCTAATTTCTGTCAAAATGCTTCCATTTTCCCCAGTAGTTCCTATCAAATAAGGTGTTTCTCTTGAAGTAATATGCAATCTCTGATTTATTTAACACCAGCTTATTGAGTTTAAATTTCTAATTCTTACTTATCTCATCTATTCTACTGATCTAATTTTCAACTTTTTAACCAATACTAAATAATATTCATGATTATTGCCTTATAATTTGAAGTCTAGAAGTGCCATTTCCTCTTTCTTTTTCTTTTCATTATTCTCTTTAAATTCTAGAATGTTTTGTTCCTCCAAATAGTATTATTCATCCTCCAAATAGTATTGTTATTTTGCTTCACTCTAAATGCCTCCATGGTAGTTTAATTGAGATAGCATTAAATCTGTAAGTTAATTTCATAAATTATTTTTGACTGGAACACAGCATCTGCCTTCATCAAATTTATACTTTGACTTAAGTGTAAGCTAATGGACCTGAAAAATAAAGTTGATCACACTTTTTCCACCCCTATTGTGAACAAAACTCTTTATAGAATGTGGCAAAAAATAACATTTAAAAATGTGACATTGAATGGGCTAATTATGTAAATTAGTTTATAATTATAAATTTCTATATAAGTATCTGTTATTGCTGTTACTGTAAATATGATGCTTTATTAATAGCACAATGCCATTAAATACTTAATATTATTTATTTAATCTATTATGTAATTATTATAGTAAATATTGATTTTGCCAGTAAGAATTAATGTCATTCTGTTTTTGTTAATAAAGTCATTAATAGTGTTTATAATAATCCTCACCAATATAGTTATATATCATTTACGGTTACAAAGCACCTTTATATACATTCTCCTCAATGACATTTAAGTTCCCTTTCAACTTTAAATCTGTGATCCTATGATTCCCTGCAATAGTCTTGTGTGGTAGGTTTTTGAAACAGTATAATCCTTATTCTACAGATGATTAAAGTGAGGCTCCAAGAGGCAAAGGAACCTGCCCCAGGGTTACTCTGTTAATATAATTTACTAGCAGGGCTAGGACTCAAACCCAGTTCTTTGGATTTATTCTTCAAAGTTTTTTCTTATACGTAACTCATTACATTTAACATTAATGCTGTTTCTAGAGGTTTGAACTTATGTTACAGATTAACTGTTTTTTATAATTCATCTAGGATTTCTGAGGAAACTCAGAGACCATGTAATTGTATTATGGTTAGTTATTTGGAAGTACACAATATGCAAGGCTATGTTACCAGTGCTATTCTAATACATTTCTAACCTAAAAAAATTTAGTTTGTCACATGACAATTGGCTCATATTAAAAAAAAAATTATTCCTAAAAATTTTAAAACACAGCACAGAAAAAAAATCTTTCTTAAGCTTGCTTGTACTAGTCTTATAAACTATGCTTGTTGACTATGGATAATGCTTATGAGGAATTGGAAAGCAATGTAGCCCTGAAAATGATTCAGGAGACATAAAGAATCGGTGACTAAATGATGATTTAACACTTTAGAAGACACTATTCAGTTGTACTAGAGATCCAGAGGTGTTAATGCTCTCTTAAGTGATAATTAAAAATATAATAGGTATAATTTTGAAATTTGTCCTAAATTATTAAGACTAAGGCCTGTGTTCTAAGATTTTGAAGAGTTTCTAGTATCTGAATCCTTGGAACTCTACCATGGCAATCAGAAACATGTCACTACACATTTATGTGTATAACTAATTGAATTTAAATAAAATAACACTTATTTCCTAATGAATTTTTCAAAATTTACTTTGTTAAGGCAGCTTACAGAAGAGTCCTAAAACAAAAACTGAGAGGGTCCATATTGTTACCATAACAGTCAGAAAACGTTGCTTCCTTTGAGTAATTGGCAGTTAGATGGAAGAAAATTTGCAGCATGTTATATAATCTTTCCTAAACAGTTAAATTAATAAATTAGTTAAAAGAAATCTCAACTTAAGAGTTGTAAGATTAGAGTTCAAATACCAACTTTAGTGTCAGTTTCCTGATCTCTAAAATGAGCTCGTTGGACTAGATGACCTCTAAGGTCCTTCTGGCTCTAGAGCTATAATTTAGGATTAGGGTTTAGGGTTGGGATTATAATCTCAGGTTATATAAAGGTGTTATTACAACTACTTCCTTCCTTTTTACTTTTAGCCTTTCAGTTGATGTTTCCTCTCCTGATTTATTTGGAAGTATCCATGAAGACTTCAGTTTGTCTTCAGTAAGTGGAAAATAAAAGAGGGGGGGTGTGTGTGTGTGTGTGTGTGTGTGTGTGTGTGTGTGTGTGTGTGTGTGTGTGTTTGTAGAGGCAATAATTGCCTTTAAAAATTAACTGTGGGGCAGCTAGGTGGCGCAGTGGATAGAGCACTGGCCCTGAAGTCAGGAGGACCTGAGTTCAAATCCAGCCTCCGACCAAATACTTGACACTTACTAGCTGTGTGACCCTAGGCAAGTCACTTAACCCCAATTGCCTAAAAAAAAATTTTTTTTTAATTAACTGTGCAAAATTTCCTAAATAAATACTCATTTCTAGAGACAGTGTCATATCATAGAGCACTAGATAAGTCAGGCCATTCTTCCACTGTCTGACCTTGTGATCACAGATAAGTCACTTTACCTCACTACTGCTCATTATCGTTACCTTCAAAATGAGAAGGCTGGATTGGATAATATCTAAGGCCTTGGCCAATTTTTTATTCACTGGTTCTGTACTGATAATATACTACTAATACTAAGATGTTAAACTATGATAGTAGTTAATTATATTAAATTATCGAGTATTGTCATAATTCTTCTGGCATGCCTATATGACACTTTGGACCCACTAAATAAAATTTCTTCTAAGTTTTCATGAAAAGATTAATTTTTTTCATCTGTGCCGTGCATAAAACTTATTTGGCAATGATCTTATAGCTAAAGTTGCAGTTCAAGTTATATAATAACTAATGTGACTCAACACTAACTTCCTTGTGAGGTAGACAGAAATGTACACAAGGTGCTTTGGAGTTCAGAGAAAGAGAGGTAATTTTCTGGTGTGAGGATCATAGAAGACTTCATGGAGGAGGTGATATTTTAGCTAGACCTTGATAGATGGTGAGGATTTCAGCAAATAGAGTTAAGCAGAGGAGTCAATAACAAAATCAGAAGCTAGGTAACAAGAGCCTGGAAGGGACGTTTGTGGCACAAATAGTACAGTTTGGCTGAGACACGGAATATGTTTAGAGGACTAAAATGAAACTAGGCTGAAAAAGTAAATTGTGGCCTCATCACATAGACCCTTGAATGCCAGGCTAAGGAGTTTAGATTTTATTCAGTAATGGAAGGAAATAAAGTGACTGTTCTCATTTTGTGGAGGAACTGTGGGGTTGGAGCTGAAAAAAGAAATGAAAGTGTAAGATATAAAAAATATAAATAAAATTATAAAGTAAAGAAAAAAGAGAATTTCTAAGGAACAGGAGTCAGTGAAATAGTATTCAAAATAACCAGTTGATTAAACTGATTATGGGTACTTTAACATTATCTTAGAAAAACAATTTAGGATTTGTGAAGGATGGCATATTTTAAATGACTAGTGATATATTACACCTGTTATTCTGGGTGCTTTGCAAACACTACAAGGTCATAATAACACCTAGGCTTAAGGATCAGACAAGAGATCGGGGAGTAACTGTAATGATGGTCTTTCCCAGGCTTCCCTGCGTCTTTTGTCAATGCTAACTTGTCTCTTGTTCTCAGTTACTATTCCCACCATTCATTTCATTTTGACAAACAATTAGTACATGCTTACTGTATGAAAAGAACTGTGAAAAGGAGCTATATGAGGTTCACAAATGAATATAACTGTCCTTAGTCACTTCCTTTTTTTCCCCTTGTTCCACACTGCTGCATTAATTCTAGTGGCTCTACATAGTTCTTATTTATTTGAAGATTTTTAAGTCATACCTAAGCCTTCTTTGTGGCTTTCTTCATAAGTGGCTATTTGCTTACCTTATCGTCACGTTTATAACTGAGAAAAATTGGTTAGCATATAGGCGGCTCCCACCCAAAAAATTTAGTGCTTAAGAGGAGTGAAAAGTAGTACCCATGGAAGGCTTGGGGAATTTACTTTTTGAAGGTGCTTTTTTGGCATGATCTAAATTGAAATATTAGAAACTATAAGAATGGCTTAGCAGTTATGACTTCAAGGACTGTAGTTACATATTTTTTGTTTACCTTAGAGGAAAGAACTATATTTATCTTCACATCCGTTGCACTGAATTTGAATTAATTTAAGCTCTCTACGTTGGCTAAATGAAGAAAATTTTGACCAGTGCAGAGTAGAAACATTTTCCTGGAAAGTGCTTTTTGCCTTGTTTTTAGTAAGAGGATCTTAAATCGAGGCACTGTATTAGTCATAGTTATTCCAGAGAATACATTCACACATTAGTGGCCATAGGAAAAAGTACTCTAGAGTGAATCATGGTAGCAATATGAACTCAGTTCTTAGAATTTTGTTTACAAAAATAATTCTTCTGAAGTATAATGTGATATTTTATTTTTCAGCATTTGGATCCAGTAATTGTGATAAAGGAGAAAGTGTTTCAATAGGTAGAAGATTAGATTAGGAGTTTGGAGAGCTGGATTCTAACTGTATTCAATCACTAAGGATAAATTGCCAAAATGAGGAAAATCATTTGACCTCTGTTCTATCCCTGACAAAATGAGGTTATTGAATCAGTCAGTAGTCATTTATATGATCAATAGTTACATCACATGCCTACTATGTGCCAGGCACTGTGCTGTATATAAGATAAATAGGAAATAATTAACAGAAGGAAGACTCTAAAATTAAGAGGGGTTGAAGAAGGCTTCCTATAAAAATAGGATTTTATCTGGGACTTGAAGGAAGCCAGGAAGGTCGGGAGGTAGTATTGGAGAGGGAGAACATTTCAGGCATAGGGAACATCCAGAGAAAATGCCTAGAGCCCAGAGATGATGTCCTGTTTGTGGAACAGCCAGGAGGCCAGTGTCACTGGATCTAAGAGTACATGGCAGGGAGTAAAGTAGAGAAAGACTGGAAAGGTAAGAGGGTAGGTTATGAAGGGCTTTGAATGCCAAGCAGATCATTTTGTATTTGCTCCTAGAGGCAATAGGGAGCCACTGGAGTTTATTGCATGGGGGGTGGGGTTGTGTATGACATGATCAGACCTTCATTTTAGGAAAATCACTTTGGTGACTGACTGGAAGATGGATTGGTGAGGGGATAAACTTGAGGCAGGCAGACCTGACAGCAGGCAATTGCAGTAATCCAGGTTTGAGGGAATGGGAGCCCCCTAACAGAGTGGTCTCAGTGTCAAAGAAGAGAAGGGAGCATATTGGAGAAATATTGCAGAGGTGAAATTGACAGACCTTAGCAACAGATTGGCTATGGGGGGTTAGAGAAAGTGAAGATTCCGGGATGACTCTTATGTCTTAGGCATGAGGGACTGGGGAGAATAGTGTTGCACCCTACACCCTTCCCTAATAGGGAAGGTAGGAGACAGGGAGGGCTTTGGGGAATGATAATGAGTTCCATTTTGGACATGTTTAGTTTAAGATGTCTTCTAGACCTCCAGGTCGAGATAGTTAAACGGTAGTTGGACATTTGAGATTGGAAGTCAGTAGAGTGGTTGGGGTAGGATAAGTAGATTTCAAAATCATCAGCATAGACATGGTAATTAAGTCCATGGGGATTGAAGAGATCACTAGTATAGAGGGAGAAGAAAAGCAAGCCCAGGACACATATGATTAGAGGGCATGAACCAGATGAGTATCCAGCAAAGGAGACGGAGAAAGAGCAGTCATAGGTAGAAGGAGAACCAGAAGAGAATGGTATCATGAAAACCTAGAGAGAAGAAAGGATCAAGGAAGAGACGGTGATCACAGTGTCAGAAGCTGCAGAGGGGTCAAATAATAAGGATTGAGAAAAGGCCACCTCATTCGGACATTGAGAAAAATCTTTAAAATTCCTTGTAGGTAACCATTACGTATTAGGGCATAATTATTTTCCAAAGTCTCAATATTTTTAAATTATAGGTGGCAGTTTTCATATTTTCATTTCTGACTAATTATACAAATGTCTGTTTAAAAAGCTTTTTTAAGATTAAGCGTTAGATTAGGCAAACATAAAAAGAAATCACTAATATGATAGAACTCTTTGGGGGAGGCAGTGTGTACACATATATATGGTTTATGGGTTATATCAGACTTCTGTTACATGTAGCTGTTAAATTTTGTGAGGAGTATGATTTGATTTTTGGTTTATTTGAATCCATGTAATAATGAATCATTATAAAGGATTCTCCTATAGTTCTCTGTGAATATTAGAAAAGAAACAACTAAGAAACAAAAACTATCCAGTGATATTTACAAAAGAGCATGTTCAAAGCAAATTTAAGAATGAATATATATTTTCTGTACTGTTATGCTGTTTGTTTACCGTTTTAAATTTAATTCTCCCAAAATCTATTTGCTTTAGGAACAGCGGCTTTTGATAGTGCTAAGTAATTGCTGTTACCTAGAACGTCACACTTTCTTAAATATAGCTGAACATTTTGAAAAACACAACTTTCAAGGAATAGAAAAAATAACGCAGGTAAGCATAAGTGTTCATGTAAAATTGGCAAGATAATTATTTTAATGAAACTTATTTTTCAGGTTATTTTCCAGTCATCTCTCTATCACTTCCAGCTACTTGAATGGTTCCTTTCCCTCTCCCTATTCACCTTAAAAACATTTTTATAATACAAATATAACATCTTTATAATACAAACATGATACTCTTTATTTTTATTTCTTTTGAGAGCTTTTTACCCTCAATATAGCTTACTAGTTAGTCCTCTCTGAGAATTATTTACCTCCTATCTAAAAGTACCTCTCAAAAATGAAAGAAAAGAGCATGAAAGGAAAAACCCACCAAACCCAGTTCTTTAGGAGCCATTGGATTTGACCCATAAAGAAAAGTTTTGAAGTCTGCATGAACAAGCCTACGGTCAGCAGCAAGGCAGAATGCAAAGCAGCTCCCCCAGCTAATCAAAAGAAATGCACATCTTCCTTCTGCCTGTTTCTTCCAACTAAGGGTTTACTCCTTTCTTGCTCATTGGTCCCATTCTACCTCAGCTGTAGTGCTAATAATTAGCCTGTCACATAAAAGATGTCAAAGATTTTTTTTGCCCCACACAAAACCATTTATTTTCCTCCATTAAAATCATGGTTTGGGCTGAAATCAAGCCCCCTGTTTAAGTAACTGAAGTTTTAAAAACAAGTTATATTTTATTGTTTATATTAGTTTTCTTGATTATGGAGAGTTGTGAAAATGAAACAGCCTTGTTATTAAAGGTTTGTTTCTTCCTGGGCAAAGGTTTATCAGATTTCTAAGTAAAACTATTCTAGAATTTTTAATGTCAGTACATTTTTGTCAATGCAAAGAATGAGAGATCATAATCTTGCTAATCTTATACCCTAAGTGCATTCTTGATGAATTGCAACGTTTTTAAGATGATGGCTCTTATTCATGAACTCTAGATTGGAATTTTTTTTTTCAAAGAATGAAAATGTCAAGGTGGGCGGCTTTATGTGTGTCTCGTTTTCCTGCCTTTTTGTAAAGATTAATCATCCTGATGAGAAATGTTGTGACTTAGGGCATTTAGGGCCAAGTGTCTAGTTTATTTCCAAAAATTTTTTGTTGTTTACAAGTAAAAGGTTATCTTTTCCAATACACATGAATATTTTTCTCTCAGAATGATACTTCATTTTTATAACTATCTAATAATGGTACCAGCATATTTGCTGGAGATCATTTTGAATGCCATCTGAATATTGTATGAGTTGATTAGGAGCTGATTATAGCAGAAGTAAAAACTTTGGTTTTTATCCAGTTCCTGGTATAAGCCTGTATCCTCAATGGTTTTACAGAGTAACAAGAAGGAACTACCTACTACAGAGTAATAAATAGGAACGTACTTAGGAGGACACCAGATTGTTACAACAAAATCAACTTGTTGATATCTTTCCTGTTTTTCATCCATACTCCCTTAGGGACCAAGATTACATAGAGAATATAGTCAACAACTGAAGCTAAAGGGTGCTTTTCTTCCCATTCTCCTCCTCAAAAGTTGGTAACATGAAAAATAATTCACACCTTAAATTTTAAATTGATCAACCATGTCAGAATTTGGCAGCAAAATTAACAATACTTAAAGCAGGGATTCTTAACTTTTTTTTGGTGCTAGAGACCCCTTGGCAGTCTAATGAAACCCATCCTTTCTCTGAATATGTTTTTAAACATATAAAATAAATAGACAAGATTGCAAAGAAACTAAATGTGTTAAAATATAGTTTTATATTAAGATACAGTTATCAAAATACATATTCAAAAAGTTCATGGACCTTGGTTAAGGTCCCCTGACTTTGTGCGTAAAATCTTTGTTGTCATTCCTTATTTCAGGTGAATTCATTGATGACAGGAAACCACCACAAAGGTATAGGGTTTTTTATGTTGACAGGAAGATACTGCTAACCAAATCCTATCTCCTTCCTTTTCAAAAACCAGTAGTCTCTGCAAACGGAAGTGCTATTGGAAGTTAATTATTATTCTTGTTTCTAATTGTGTTGAAGCTGTTGCTTCCTAAGAGATTGTTACTTAATATGGGGCTCCTAAAATCAAGCATTGCATTCTTAGATCTGCTCGCATTTGTTCTTGGTCATCATCAGACTGATTGACAGGGCTATTTTTCAGCTAGTATTCCTTCTATTACTGATAACACTCTTTTATATGACATGTGACAAGACTATAAAATATGATTAGTTTTTGAGGGAGAGTTTTTATTTGAATCTCATTTCTTCCTTTCTCTGCATTCAGTGTGTGAATTGAATTCAAGTTGGTATAGGTGAAGGAAGCAATTGTGGATAAAAAACTAAAATAAAATACACGTATGCATATCCTTTTGAGTATGTTTCCCAGTTCTGATAGTTGTGTACATTCAAAATTAGAGCTGAAATTCTCTTTAGATTACAAAAAGTTATTTGGTAGTTATAGAACAGTCATAATCTCTTAATATAAAAGAATGTGTTTTTAAATAAAACCACATCAAGAAAATAAAAATTGGTACACTGCCAGCTTGACAGACCTGTGTTTTGGACTTTGTGAGTAGTTGTTGTTTCTAGAATCAGATGGCCACACCAGCTGATCCCTCAGGGGGGCTCATTTGAAACATTTCCCATTACAAACCTTAAACCAAACTTGTTTCACTTTGGTCACGAGTAAATTTTTTTTTTTTTACAAATACCAAAAATCAGTTTCCTTCCATTTGAGTTCAAAGTCATTCTTAGTGGCACTTCCTTGGTCTGTTCTTTTCTGGAAGGATTGTCTTTAAAAATCCCTGGAGGTCTTCATTTAACATTGATAAAAGTAAATAGGAAGCTGTTCTAACTCATTTTTAATATGCTAGCAAAATTTACTACAAGTAGGATTTCACTCTACCTCTACTCCCCACTTTAAAATCTCACTTAAGGGAGGGGAGTTGAAGAGGAAGGAACCTGTGGCTATACTGCTGATAACATCAGTAAGTCTTAGCGTGTAGTTTTGTTTTGATAAATGTAATTGTGTGATTCCAGGGAATTGTTTCATCTCTCTAACAATAGTATTCCATATTCCATCATTGTAAGTGGTAAAGATAACCTTCTGAGATTTCAAAGAATAGCCAACAGCCTGCTGATTGTGAATGTGTCATCTTCATTCCAAACCTCCTTAGAAATATCATTTTGCGCCCCCCCATGGCCTCTTTTACCTCTACATTTTAACCTAGATATGAACTAGATATTTCTTTTTGATATGTCAGCGGGAAATACCTTTACAGAACAATTTATTCTAAAAACCTCTCTGTTGTGAAATGTATTTCACATCCAGTAGTGATTGGGTATTATTTTAGTCTAACTGCAGGTAATTTTTTTAGTTTTATTAACATGTTTTGTTTTTAGATTACATTTATAGATTACTTGTACTTCTTGAGGGGACTCTTGTAACCAAAGTAAAACAGCTAAGTAAAACAAATGATACAGTGACCTCATCTGAAAATACATGTAGCATTCCACATTTATAACACTCCTCCCCACCTCTCTTTTTAAAAAGTGACAGAAATCTATTTTCTCTCCTCACCCCCATTCCATTAGGGAAAAAAAAAAAGAAAGAAAAACTAATTTCTTGTAACAAATAGGTATAGTCAACAAACAAATTCTCTCAGTGGTTGAGTCCAAAAATATGTATGTCTCATTCTCCACCCTAAATCTGTCTCTGCAATGGATAGCATATTTCATCATCACTCTTCTGGAATGGTCATTGTATTGATCACATTGGTTTCTAGCTTAGAATACCGAGTAATTTTAAAGATAATAAATCTGACCCGCTTTGAATGAGTATAAATGGTATGTAGCTTAAAATATTTTAAATGATGCCTCTTCCCACTCCTAGGATCATCTGAGACAGCTAGGTCTTTTTTGTGCTGTGTGTGTGTGAGTGTGTGTGTGTGTGTGTGTGTGTGTGTGTGTGTGTGTGTGTGTAAAACATGGTTCCTCCCTGCCTTCATTAATAGTTTAGTTAGGAAAAAAGACTAAGCAGTCTGAAAGAATAGGCCACAATAGAAAATTGCAAGGGTACAAATATGTGATAAAGATTGAAGCTGTATGGAAGTTCATGGAATTTTAGTGATGATTGTAATTGCCAAGCAGACATTCATGAAAGAGATAGAACTTGGGGTGCCCTAGGGAAGACAGGACCCCATCTGACAGAATTAACATAAATCAGTCTTTCATACTACTTGTTAATAATGTCAAAGGAGGCCATAAGTCATATGTGTGTTTGCTTTACTATGAAGCACAGCTGTAACAAGTGCATATGAGGAAGAGGCAACAGTATATGCATCATTGTAAACCTGTGGGAAAACCTGGGGGCTTTCCCACCACCACTTATTATTGACTTCTTATCACATTCCCTACAGCAGCTGTTCTAAATCTCTTCTACTCTCCTCAAGTCTCCATCTTTATATCTAACCCCTTACCTTCAACATATAATATGGGCTCACACAATGAAGAACCCCCTTCAGTGACATGGGGAAAGTGCTTATGCATTTAGATGCCATTACTTCATTATTTTTTATACCCCCTAGTGAGTTAAAAACATCTCAAAGGAATCATGTGCTAATGTCATGGTATTTTCTGGGCCTGCTACTTTTCCAGCAACAGAACCTCCTTCTCCCTGCTGTTCTGACAAGAATAAGGCTGCATTGAGAACAATAGAAAAGAAGCAGTAATTAACCTCAATATGTATTACCCCTAAAGGTGTGCTAAGTGAAATAAAACTTGCCATCCACTAATGTTATGTTTTAAAATAAATATCAGAATTTAGCTTACATACGAAAGAGTAACCTAACATATGCTTAACTATAATTTATAGAATAGTGATGCAGTGACAAGAGCACACTCAAATTACACTCAAATTAGCACTTAAAGCACAATTTTTGTGAGAGACAAAGATGGTGTGGGTGTGGGTGGGTGGGTGTCAAAGTTTCCAAATTACATTCTGGTATTGTTTCTTAAGAG